GCTAAATGTGAAGTCGTCGACACGATAAACAAGGGCGCGTCATCACAATCCGGGGACGTTTCTTCATTTTCCGCTGATTTTTTTCTTCTTCTTTTTCTCTCGGCCGCGTACCATGCGTGTCCAGGGGCTAGGTGGGCGCTTCCTCAATGGCGAAAACGAGCCAAGGCCGCAGCACCACCGCGAGGCCACTGCCATTATTCGCGGATGCCGATTGCACGCGCGGGGTGAAAGAACGTGCACGCGGCTTCCTTCCAGCAGCGCTTGCGATGGCGCGTTCCGTGCATCGCCTTTGAGGGGCACGTCTTTGGCTGTACGGCCACGGCCGCTGGACGACACGGCACACCGCAGTTAGAGTTACTGTACAAGCTACCCAGGTAGCATATGGAGTAACTCTAACCGCAGTGTCTGTGCAGCGCCTCGTAAGTGTAGTCCGAGTCTTTCGAAGCTTTTCAGTACACCGCCTTTATGGCACATCTTCGGCTGTACGGCACGCCGCCGTGACTGTGCAGCGTCTCGCAAGTGAAGTCCCCAGTCATTCAATGCTTCTTATACACAACTTGCATTGACGTCACTGCGGTCGCCATCTTCAGGCACCAGCTAGTTCAGATGCGGCGTGAGCTCGCGCTCGACCGCGCGGAACGGTGACATCAAGTTGCTGCCGGTGCCCCTTTCAATTCTTCGTGTTCGCCCTTGACGCGGCTGGTGAACAGAAAGAAACGATTGATTGATGGATATGTGCGGTTTAACGTCCCAGAACCAGAAGGAAGCTAGGACAGCACAAAAGAACGCGAGGGGTGAACGACACTGGCAGTCTCAAATGCGATAAAAAGCCATGGCGGCCGCTATGTTCAGGTACCCAGCGCAGATAACCTGTCTGTGACGTGACGGACAGTTTGTGTAATACATAAACTGCAGTATTGAATGACTGCGGTTATGTTTCGAGGTAATCTAATTATGGCAATGAAGGATTGGAACCACTACTGCAACGCTTCAAAAACTCACTTCCATGAAAGTTTATATATCAATCCGAAGTTTAAGCTGCATTGCTGGAAGAAGTCAAAATTGAATAGAAAAACGCCAGTTCTGCGTAGCGACTTGCTTGAGATGGGCCCAAACAAGCAGAGCTTTACAACGCCTACACTAATACGCCATTCTGATCAACACCGTCATTCGATCTAAAGTTTGGTTGCATAGGCGAAGTCGTATCTATTGAGCAGCGGTCTGCAGATACCACTGGGGCTGACGAACACAACCACAAAAATGAGACTAATGAAGGCACGGATATCATTAAATGAAAGAACACCTTGTGTCTTCTGTCCCGTGTTATGCATGCATGCATTCATTGAAGCTAAAAAAAATTAACAATGTAGCCGCGGCGGCCACGTGGCACATGCTTTGCTAATTAATGAAGTAGTGTATGCGATAGGCTGCAAAAAGATGCAACCAGTTAAAGCCGTTAAAAGAATGAAGCTTATGTCCTCCGTCTTCATGTTTTTCAAAGTATTTCTCGATTATTCCTGTGTTGTATCACTGCTCTTTATTTAAAACACTGTATGCTAAGCCATGATCGACGATCATTCGCTGCGCCACGCTGATATGCTACGGCAGCGTTCTAATGCGCCTAGCCCCTTCACCCGAAATGCTTATTACTATCACAGCTGCAGCGATAAAGCGTGCTCAGAATTGTCCTTTAATGGGGGGGGGGGGTGGAATCAAGGTTGTTGTAGCGCCCCTCTTTCCTATCAAGTCATTTCATGGGGCAGGCTTTGCACACACCCCCTGCCACTCGTAAGTGACAAGGAGGGGGGGGGGCGCAGAACAAGAGCCGTTCGCGAACTCAAGTAAGAGTCGCGCTACTTTGAATCACGGATGTACGCGCAAAATTAACGATTCTACCGGGGCAAAAGGATGCTAAAAAAGGGGTTTCTGGAGCGCAGCGCCGCAAGAATTCAAACACACTGTCCAATACTCCTTTGGGTGGGCGCTAGCGACACGCTTGCAAAGGCTTATCGCAATCGGTCGCAACAACGCCTTTCCCCCTCTTTTATAACGAGTGCACTGCACGCACGTCATGCACGCTTCTTCAGCGACGTGCGTTGAGCGAAAGCGATTACACATGCGACGGGAAACGCCATGAGAAACTGCGCACGTGTCGGCACGCGCGCATTTATATTCTGAAAAAAAAAAAAAAAGGCGTCTGGTTACCCCCCGTGTCTTGGCGGAGGAATCCTGTCGAACCGTGCGGAGGCGGGCCACTTCAGCAGCCATCGACCGCTAGGAGCTCCGGAAAAGGGAGGAACGGTCAAGAGAGGTATAGGTCCCGCTGTATCAAATCCTGTACCTATTTCATCTTCGTCTAGCTGTCGAGTGAGTACTACAGGGTAAACTCGAGGTCCAGTGGCGTGCGTGCAAAAACTCGGTTGACCTTCTTGGCAAAAGCATCGCGAAAAGACGGCAAGACGAGGACGAACACCGACTAAGACAGGGGCCTACACCCTGTGTCGCGTCGTTCATGTCGTCATGCCGTCTTTTTGCGTTATAGTTTTTGCGAAGAAAGCCTATACAAGGTGATTTGATTGACTGATAAGTGGGGTTTAACGTGCCAGAACCACCATAAGATTATGAGAGACGCCGAATAGTGGAGGGCTCCGGAAATTTCGACGACCTGGGGTTCTTTAACGTGCGCCCCGCCGCGGTGGTGAAGTGGCTAAGGTACTTGGCTGCTGACCCGAAGGTCGCGGGATCAAATCCCGGCTGCGGCGGCTGCATTTTCAATGGAGGCGAAAATGCTGCAGGCCCGTCTGCTCAGATTTGGGTGCACGTTAAAGAAACACGGGTGTCGAAATTTCCGGAGCCCTTCACTATTTTGGGACATTAAACCCCACATATCAATCATAATCATTCTTTAACGTGCACCCAAAGCTTAGCTTTTCGTCTCAATCTAAAATGCAGTCGACGCAGCCGGGATTCGAAGCCGCGACCTGCGGGTCAGCAGCCGAGTACCTTAGCAACTATAGACCACCGCGGCGGGGGCCTTATACAAGGTGGCTTTCGTGGCTTGCGAAAATTAACACGTGGTGGCTACGTGCCGGTCCTGTAGATATAAGGATAACATAAGGATAACTGCTGGAGTCTTACGTACGTGTCAAAACCAGAATGTGGTTATGAAGCACGCCGTATAGCGGAGGGCTCCGGTTAAGCTCAACAACCTGCAGGGTTTCTTTGTGTGCTCTGTGCCTTCACTATTGAGTGAAAAGGATGTCTTTTTCTCCCCTAACAATAATCGCCATCTCTCTTGCGCCCCTTTCCTTGCAATATTGCCCAGTACTTTCGGGTCACGAACGACGCGCGCGTTAACAGCATGACATAGAATTCTTCATAGGAAAGTGGCCAGCGCCGAGTTTTCAAGAAAAGAAGCGCAGGCAAAGCGGATGACTATTGTTGTGGGACAAAAAAGACACCCATTTTACTCCATTTCTCTTAAAAGGGTACACGCTGAGAAAATGAGTATTAGGGGAGTGTTTCTGCTGCACAACTAAGGGGGTCATCTATCCGGTGTACTTTCCTTGCGTTATCACATTGAACGGCATGCTATCACCTTGAACGGTCACGAACGGCATGCACGATGTAGCAGTCTTGATCATATATGCCTGCGCATGGTTTCCCCTTCCGCGAGAGGGTATTGTTAAGGCATTATATGGAGCAGATTGTGCGCCCCTAAATGACCGAGAAAGAGCCCCCCCCCCCCTCCCCCTGTGCGCACGCATCTGATCTTGATGAAAAGTCTGCGAGAACCCGTACTCGGAATAAGGAATCGCGAGCAAGCCAGATGACGATGACAGTTGTGTGGCAGAGAGAACTCGAGAGTAACCTCCCCCCCCCCCCTTTTTTTTTTTGAGAGTGGGTAGCCGAGCATCTAGGATTTTCGCCTCCATCGAAAATGCTACCTCTGCGGCCGCGATCGAAGTCACGTGACTATAGCCGAGCGCCATAACCATAGTACCACCGCAACGGCTCGACGCGTTCTATATGTGATAACTACCAATATCGTGGCGTTTCGCGCATCCGTCAAGGGCAGTCAGCACTTTTTACACGCATCTGTGAAATCTTATTATGCATCTTTAACTCTTTCCAGCACGGTGGTCCCCCCACGTAACCACTTCATTTTTTCCCCCTTTTCAAACACGTGAGCCCCGCGTGTCGGATTTCAAATAGCGCGTATTTTTAAAGCTTTCGGCAATCCGACAGAGATGACGCTACTTCGTTTGAGCTCCAATGTGACATTTTTAATTTGCTTTCTTCCGGCTGCCGTCGTCCTCAAGGCGCGCTAGTCGGTGAATCCGAGATTTATGGATATATAAGTACATACTGGTCCCATCATGTTGATAGTGCAGGAGAGCATGTTGTATGAGTAGCTAACGCTAAGGACTATAAAAATCAAGAGTTGTACTTAAACAGAAAGTGACCAGTAGACCCTCGCAGCATGGTGGTCACTTCAGGTGGCCACCTTATATTTTTTATAACTAAAATGGCCAATTTCTTTTTTCTTGTGAAAAAACAATTTCCTCAGAAAGATTTCACCTTTTTTTTTTTTTGCAATAAGAATCTGTTTCCCACCAAAAAGTTCTGTGCATAAAAGAGTTGATAAAACAGCTCGGCCCATCGTTCAATGTCAATGGAGAGTCGACAAAGGGATATTGCCGCATCATGAAAGTGTATCCAAAAGTGAAGGACCAATACAATCCACTTCGAACAACAGCAAGGCTTTTGCTTTCAGGTTATTTATCTGCGGCAAACACATAAGGATCAGAGTGAGTTTTTTTTTCCTTTGTTTTGAGAACTCTTCTGTACACCACACGTGAATGGGAGGATATGGCAAGCGAAGACTTCATAATGCTTTTTCTTGCCGTGTCCTCCTTTATCGATGACTGACCTACTTATTATGTGCCGTTTTCTCAAACTCTTCGATGCCACATTATGGTTTGCCTTTTTTTGTCCAGACAGGCCACTGGTACGAGCTCAATCAACGTCCACACGGAGAAGTGTCCATATTAGTCATGGCAGCCAGAGGTCTACGAAGCAGCTCGAACATTATTTTGGCCATCGTTGTTCTCCTGGCCTTGTCTACGGTGCACCGTGGGGAGGCCAGGACTGCTCACGTGGCATCCCACGTGGTGCACGAGCCGTTACTGGCTGCACGCCAGGCGGGTGCACCGTCATTGGCTGCTGCGGACTTGCTAGCGCCAACCACGACTGAGCTGACTGAGGAGTACGACGATGACGACGACGGTGGCACTGCCGTCGCAGCCGGAGTGAATGCACGTCCAGGCAGCATTGGCGGAGCCGCTGAGGATGCCAACGAGGATGCAGATGAGTCTCCTGTGGAAGAGGAAGAAGCTTCGTCGACTACAACAACTGCGTCGTCGACACACGAGCCTTCTGCCGCTCCAACAAGACCCAGGTAATGTGTACAGGATGGACTAAGATTGTCTTGCAATCTGCAATCAGCCTTTTAACGAACGTATTTAAGTTTTTTCGTTTGTCCTTATCACGTAGACTAGAAAAGGCATCTGGCTGTTACTCCACGGCGCGTTGCCTTCCGAGCAACTGGCAGAGCTGCGCCTCGCTTCACATAGGAGAAGGTGGTGGGAAAGGATCAAGGAGAGGGTAAACTATAGCATAGTATATCAAGGAGTGGGAAAGGGAAGTGATGATGAAGAAGAAAGGACAGAAGTAACCATCTTTGCTGTTTGCAGTCCTCCTATTGCTGCGTATAGCTGCCTTTTTTTTTTTTTTTACAATGCCACAGCTCTTGCACCCTTCCCTTAAAGGGTAAGTCATACAGCCCTATTGTGGGCTCTGCGCAAGTCTTCCGCCCTCGGAGGCTTTTCCTCTGACAATCCCAGCTGTCCCTGATAAGCCGCAGATAATGAAAAAACTGCGGTAGTGTACTGGACAAGAACAGTGCAGTGAAAGAGTACCCTAGTGAGTGGCTAAAGTATTATGACCAAAACAAATAAATTATTATAACGATCAATTGTTGGACACACTGTGGACAATACTTGACAAAGAAAATTTATTGCTGCAATGTAGCCTATATTTGTATGTAGGCTTGTTTCCTTGTCCAACTGCTCTGCTCACTTCAGCAGAAAAAGTTTTTGTACATTTCGGTCCCAATTATTCACCGAAGTTTTCTGAAGCTTACTATGTTAAGCCTTTTTCCCTCAGAACAAAATGTGAATCATTTTTTCACGAGAAACAAATACGTAGACCCTACCAGAGGCTATCAAAACCTATGACGTCATAGAGAGCTAGTGTCCCAACTTCAAAGTGACGTCGCCAACTGTGTTATCTTTTTATGCATTTCATACCCCCCTCTGTCAACCCCGCCGCTACAAGCCTATGACTATTGTGGTATTCACAACAATATTTATGGTTAACCACTTTCTACTCCAATTTTTTTATACATATTTGCCTTGCTTTGCCTTGTTTTGTTTAGCTCTTTCTCTTTATACTTGCGCAGTCTATCCAATGCCTACCCACCCGTTCGGGTCTCGACGCCCAAGGTTGAAACCGCACCACTGGCATCTACTAGTCCGAGCACTACCCGCTCCACGACCACTACTACGCCCACTACCTCAACCACGACGACAACGACAAGGCGTCCCATGACTACACCGACGACAACAACGACCACAAGGCGCGCGACCACAGTAGCAGCGGTGGTACCTTCTGCCCCGGCACCGGCCCGACCAAGGCGGCCTCCGACAACGTATTCGGTGCCCACGGAGTCCCGGTCCGACGACTCTGCGTGCCCACGTCGCGAAGACATCCACCCGTGCCAGTGCATTGAACTGCCCAGCAAGATTCCCGGAGACGTCGAGACAGTCGCCACGTGCAAGAATATCCGTAACCACCAGGTAATACACTCGCTTGCTTACTTGGCAACTCTCCTAATATGCCCGGGAGACTCCCAAATTTCATACAGTCCTTCCTGTCATATGGGCATGTTCATGTTTGCTCTGACAGACGGCTTTAACTGCACCATGAGGAAATAACGAAGAACAGCAGTTATGAAATTTCCTGACACTCATTTTTCACCTATTGACGTCACGTAAAAACACGTAATCATATTGCGAGTTAACAGCTGACGAACAGTTCCTCGTATACCACCTGAAGGCACCTTGTCTGCCAAAACAAGACCCTAGCTATGAATGAAGAGAAGAAGGGTAAACTTAAGGGCAAGCAATATTAATGAGAAGTCGCAAACAATTATGCCAAAGAATGTATGGGGGATATTATTTGGAGTAATTGTAATGTATATGTGAAGAAAGAAAAGTGAATGAAAAGATGACTTGCCGTGGGCACTATCAGAATTTGCGACCTCTAAATAACGCGTTTGATGCTCTACCAACTGAGCTACCACGGCAGCTATCCCCTCATCCACTTATTGCTTATGTACGTGCATTAAACATGCACGTATGTGCACTAGACTTTCAGGTTATGCGAGGGATTGTTGGTCAGCTGCCGGCTCATAATAAGGTCACTTGTTACGTGACATGAATAGGCAAAAAAATGAGTGTCCTACACTCACTGCAATGGCAACGGGCTGCGCTGACCGATTCTCCCAGGTTTAATGCACATACATGCCCAATAATGTGGATCGGGGGATAGCTGCCGTGGTAGTCCAGATGGCAGAGTGTCGAATGCGTTATTCAAAGGTCGCAGGTTCTGAGCCTCCCCACGGCAAGTTATATTTTCATCCCCTTTTTTTCACATTTACATTACTATTACTTCTAATAGTGTCCCCGATACTTTCCTTGGCGTAATTGTCTTTCAGTTCTCATTAATATTGTTTCTAACAAAGCAAATGAGCCCTTAAGTTTACCCTTCTTACCAGTGATGATAGCACGAGGCACAGCTTCTTTACCCTAAGTTAGAGCAGACGGCTCACGTAGCAACATGCTTTTTTTTTTTTTTTGATCTGCAGGTACTCAGCGATGCCCTCAAGGGTTTCCAACACCACCGGATCAACTTCTTCGTGCTCGACAGCTGCAAATTGCCCCCCTTCCCCAACGGCCTCTTTCACAATGTCGACGTCGAGTGGATGGAGGTCCTCAACTCGACTGTGCAGTTCCAGAAGAACTTCTTCACCTGCTCCAAGGACTGCCTGTGAACTGTGTGCTGGTCGTCTATTTCCGTGTGGTGCCGAGTCACAAACAGTTAGCACCAGTGAACAAAAACGCTGTTTTGTTCAGAAACATTGAGCCCGTGCCTCGCAAAAGCCCTAAGAACAACTGCCCGGGAAGTACAAGGCTCCAAAACCACAGGAAAATGAATGGACGTGTCGTGGTTTTAGGTGCGAAGAGTAGTAAGTAGGTCACATATGTGCTTTCTGATGGAAACGTTTATTTTTTATTAAGGGCCAATTCATCTTATCCAATCATCTTTTGCACAATGAGCTATCCAGAAAGAGTGGTTTTCTTTTTTTCCTCCATAGGCCGTTCAGTAGGTATGTGGGCAACTACATTTCTCATTTTATTTCTCAAAAAAATAAATACTAAAATGGGCCTTTCCTGACAAATACAGCTTTCACTACAAATTTCTGGGGTGGTTAGCTCTTAGTGTAAATGTTCTCAATCTATGGTAACACAATGGGCAGAGTGTACGTAGCGTTAATTCAAATGCTCGTGATGCGAATTTGGCATACCTACAAAGCCTTATAGTTTTAGCTTACCGATAACAAACTTTGTTTAGAGTGCAGTGCATGTCAATAAATATAATGTGTCACCATTTAAACACATCAACTATCAGCATAATGGCCAAAGGGAAAATAAGACTTGCAATGACTTGTCTTGTTATGATCACCCACATACTACATCGGCTATCTACTTCAAGCTGTCACATATGAGCCACATGTAATTGCCGTAAATTCAGTGCGGCTACTGGGGCAGCTTTTGATGCATTGGCATGTAAGCAATCATCTTGAGTATGATGAACTACTAACAATGTCATTGTAACTTTTTCATACATGTTTTTGTTCTCACAACTTGCCATTTTTCACAATAATGTAGGCTATAATCTTTGTTAAAGACAAACAAGTAAAACTCGCTGAAAGTGTACAGCAACTAGGAAAAAATTCTTTTTAACTGTGCAGCACATTTTTCTCATAGGTGTAAAAAGTTGTTTTGTTTGCTCAATAAGTACTTAAAAGCTTCAGGTAAACTGTGAAGCGAATTTTCACAAAATGCACATACACAAATTGAGTGCTGTAAATATTTTGGTCTATGTCCTTTTCATCATCACAGTAAAATTAATTAAACTACACATAATTCCATGTACACTTAAGCTCTGTGTTGCAAGTTCTTGCCAAGTGACCTGAATGTCTTTTTAGAAATTGTTTCATGAGCCAACTTGAAACGTGGATAATGCTCAACACCACTTTTATCTGTAAACAAATATTTTGCAGAGCAGAGGAATGAAACGATGGAAGATCCCTTCTCATGTGCCATCACTCACCACGTGACACATGTTGTACCAATGATCTGCCACTTCCTACACGTTCTGTTTGTACATGTGCCTTTTTGAGCTCAATTGAGTGGCATTACAACACTGTGCTCAAGATATTGATTAAAGGTTTTTCTCCTTGTTAAGAAACGCTTCTAGCTCTAGTCTTTGTGTCAGTAATTTGTCTCCGGCGGTTAAGGTGCTCGACTGCAGACCCGCAGGTCGAGTGATCGAAGCCCGGTCGCCGCGCCATAATTTTTTATGGCGGTGAAAATGCTAGGAACCTGTGTACTTGCAATTAGGCGCACATTAATGAATCTGAAGTGGTAAAAAGTTTCCCGAGCCCTTTCCACTACACGGTCCCATAATCACATTGTGGTTTTGAAACAACTAACCCAACAATTATTTTATTATTATAAAACTTCACTGTTCATAGCTGACATAAACATGATTTAAAAAGGTACTGCTGGCAATCACTGGTGCCGAGTTTATTCCACCACACAAATATACTGAATGTGAAACTTTCTTTGAATAATTTTGAAGCCAAGTAAATGATCAGATATTTTATTTCACATGAACGTTATCACTGTCGAGACATCAGGCTATAGTATCGGCTCTGGTGATTTCACACGCCAGTGTAGCTGGTTTTGAAGACATCAGCTATAGATACATTCATAATGGCCACTCGTGAGTCTCCAAGACTGCAGGGGCCAGGAAAACACCACTATATCATGTGTTGGCCCGTGACGAAAGGCTCGAAAGACATCAGGGTGAGGTAGGAACTGAAACTGACTTCTAAAAACATGAACGTATAACACAGTTTCGCATATAACACGATATTATTAATAACCAGCAGCCCCAACAAGAACACGAGGAGAATTAGAGCAACACTAAAATGAAATATCAAATCAGTTTCGACAGAAAAATTATTTTTTTTAGAACATTATTGACAGCAATTTCGATAATAAAATAAAGGTCGAAATTCCGTTCTGGAATTTCGTCCCCAAACTTCCACATGTGGACAACAGTGCGACGTGAAAAATTCCTCAACCATTTATAAGACGATGTCAGGTACGATGGTACAATTGTTGTATTTAAAACACAGGTGTGTGAACCAAACGATGATGGTCATTATGATGGTTCGCACGCAGATCTGAAGTTGATGGTCAATACTACTAAGGCCAATGGTACTAAGAGTGTGTGTGTGTATGTATATATTTGAGTATTGTCATGAAGATACCGTCTCTGCATTATTGTGATGCCATATTATACACCAGAATTAAAGGGACCCAGAACTGGCCTGAACCAGTGATTAGATTCCGTTGGAAAGGAAAAGAGCGTGAATTATGGTGACAGGTGACAGCATACTTTTCGCGACCTGAGTAGTATTTATATTTTTAAAGTGCGTTAAAAGTAACCAAAACAGGCGTGTCGCACCCCTAGCACCAAAGCCATAAAACACAATTATGAAGTCCTAATAATTTTGCTGTGATTATTTAAAGCGCACCAAAATAAGAGCCTAAATTTCGAATATGTATGTTATTGTTCATTTTAGTTTGTTTCTGTGTGGCTTACAAGGTAAAAGAAGTACATTATGAAAAGTAGCACTGATTTTGTGGCCTCTGCAGGGGAACGCACGCAGCTGCGCATGCGCGCGGATTTTCCACAGTAGCTCGATTCCTGTTACGTCAGGCACGTTCAAGAAGCATGCGAGCTTTTCAAATGCGATAGCTGTGGCGCGCGAAATGCCGTTCACCTACTGCTCTGTAGAGAATTGCTTGATGCGTGCTGCTGGTGGTAGCGATAATGGGGGTCTATTGGATTCATCGCTACCGCTGTCATCTGCCGAAACATGTCGCTCTGGCGCTAATTGATAGGGGCCCAAATTTTATGCTCAGATGCGAGCCGAAAATTGGTCTTCTAAATCACTCAAGTTGTCCAGCGATGACATATCGAATCCGTCCAACTACGGCCACACGTGAAATACTATGGGTGCATTGTCGATCACTTGTAAAGACGTGCATTTCATTTTCGAAGACTTGGCTTAGCTTGACTTAGCTTAAGTGAAAAGAGCGACCTGTGCACGACCACAAGTACTTGCATAAGAGGCCTCTCGAAGATGCTGCAGCTCTTGTAAAATAATTTAACACGCTAGAAAGCAGTGGGGGCGAGACAGCAGGCTTGACAAACACAACATTACGCGTTGTACTTAGGTCTTCACTTTTCATCACTGCTGGCGTTACACTGGCATATAATCGCTATAGCGATCACACCCACTGTTTGCAGCATGTCTTCTTAAGATTGCATAATCGCCGCAAATAGAAAAATTCTGATTATAAATGTTCTACGGTGTTTTCCGCGTTACCATTCCGAGATTACAAGGTCGGACCGGTAATCTTTCCATTGCACTCAAGAAAACAGGTACCATAAATATTAGTTGTGGGTCTCTTTAATACATAGCCTCCCCCCAACCATGACCCAAAATTTTCAGCATATTTCGAGGAGGTCACTTGCTACTAAATACAGTATAAACAGGCAGAGAGCACTGCGAATATATTCGGATAAACTGAACATAATTAGTCATCAGACACTCAGAGGACAAATCGAATCCGGATGTAGAGGCACGGGTGGCGCATCTCATGACGCCAGCGATTCTCCTCGATCGCGCATTGTCCGAGTGGCTCGCGGACGGATGAGCCCAACTTGTTTTTGTCGTAGGGATTCTGGTTATGGAACACAGCAGCTTTAGTAGATAAACAGGCCGGCAACCAGTACACTTTTCTCCTGCTCAAGCCACACCGCTGTCGTCGCAGTTGATTTCTGCTCTGCTGGATCTTAGTGCAGTCCATTTCTGGGGCCATATTCAAGGTCAATCATCTTTGATATATTTACTGCATTTATTTCACACTCAGTGGTGGGAATGCCTTCCAGCATTTTGTAGCAGCCATTGGAGCAGCAAAATCTGCTTTTGGAGCAGCCACATTCATGTTCGGAGCACCCATGGGCTTTCCATAACACACACAGAACCAAAAAAACATAGCTTTAATTAGGTTTACTGCTTTTTCGGTTTACATAATTATTTATAGCTCACAAAATAAGCACAAAATAAACAAAAATAGGAATATTGTAGGCATCCATTATGCACTTCATCCTCATCTGAACAGCAATCATCATCCCCTGTTCTGGCTGACAATCATCATCGTCTTTCATCTTCATTTTCAGCTTCATCTTCGGGCCCGTTGCGCTTGTTTGTTCTGGAGTTCAGGGCCAATAAACCTTGTTACAACCGAGTCGTCATACGTGGTTGGAGGTGGATTGACAATCCCAGACCTCTCCTCACAACGCCTATTCGCTGAAGCTCCGTTCAGGCCACCGCTTGAACCCTCAGTCCGCCAACATGTCTCAGAGTGAATAGGCGGACGCCCTTTCTGCTCCCGTCCTTGCACCGCAAGCCCCTCCTCTTTACATCGTGAACCACCAGCGTGACCCTCCAATCTTCACTGGTCTCCACGGCGAAGATGTGAAGGACTGGCTCGATAACTACGAGAGAGTACGCGCAACTAATTACTGGGACGACTCTAACAATTTCCGCCGAGTATCACTTTATCTCACGGGCGTTGCCAAGACATGGTTCTTGAACCATGAGATTGACCTCACCGACTGGCCTGCCTTCAAGCAGCAGCTTCGCCAAGTATTCGGCACACCTGCAGTTCGATCCGCTCTAGCGAAAAAAAGCCTAGATACTCGTTAACAACATGCCGGCGAGTCATACACATCTTACATCGAGGATGTCCTTGCGCTTTGCCGGCGCGTCAATTCTTCGACTTCCAAGTCAGCAAACTGCGTCACATCCTGAAGGGCATCGGAAGCATTGCCTACAATGCCCTTGTTGCCCAGAATCCTTCTACTGTCGCTGACGCCGTCTCTACGTGTCAGCGTCTCGACGAACTTATTCTGTTTGCCTTCAGTCGGGCAATAGTGAACATCGTCCAGCAGACCAGGACCTGCATGACATGATACAGGAGATCATACGTGAAGAACTCCAATCAATGGGCTTCTCACCACCTTCTCCATCTGTCACACAGCCTTCAAGCATGGCCTTGCGTGACATCATAAGGGAGGAACTAACATCATTCACCGGTCCAGCCTACGTACAGCCACCTCCGTCCAGCCCTCCAACGTACGCGCAAGTTGCGGCCGCGCCTCCTCGCAACGTAAACTCTACGTTGCCGCTCCCATCAATCACGTCGGTTGCTGCTGCACCACCGGTCCACATCCGGCCAATGCCACCCGACCTTCCACCTGTCCATTTGAGTGCGCTATCTCCCGGTGCGCCGAATGCCCTCTACTACTCACCTTGGCGCCCGTCTCGCCCAACATGTTTTTACTGTGGATATCTTGGTCATATATTGTGCTTCTGCCGCAAGCGCCAGCAGGATGAGCGTAGTGGGTACGACATGCTCGAACGGGACTTTTTCCAGTGCAGATTTTTACGCCCGGTGTTATTCATCTGGACAGCAACGGTCTCCATCTCCACCCGCATCGACTGAGACGCGGAACACTTACCGTTCAAGCCGACACCGACACCTTCGCCCTTTCGTCGCTCCTCCTCTCTTCTTCGGCCAGCCTCGTTTACCACTGACAATCGGTCGGAAAACTAAATGATGCAGTTTTTGGAGGAGAAACTGCATGTAACAGTAGGACGAATATTCCTCCAGCACGCCGGTTCAACATAGTTTCTGTTAAGGTGGAAGGAGTTCTTGTGGACGCTTAGGTGGACACCGGTGCTACAGTTTTTGTGATTCGGTATGATTTGTGCAAACGCTTAAAAAAGTAATGACACCTTATAATGGACCCAACCTAGTTGAAGCCCAGGGAAACACTATCCCCCCTTTGCTCTTTGTAGTGCTCGTGTTTTTATCGATGACATCCTGCATTACACCCAGTACACTGTGCTTACCCGGTGCTCTCACCAGCTTATTCTAGGGTGCGACTTCCTATCTTCTTCTACAGCCGCTATATGTTGTGGTGAACGGATTCTGCACCTAACTAATGCAGACTTTATGTTCGGCGAAGGCGTCTACAAGCCACTACGTCTGTTCGCTCGCGAAGATCTGGAACTACCGCCACATCAAGAGCGAATTGTGACCCTGACT